TGCGAAGTCAGATTTAGACGTTCTTTTCATGCATTCTCTCGGTTTAACGTATCCTACGATTTTCGTTTAGATTACAAAGACTAAATATCGCTCTATCGTAAATTCACTATTTACGTCCTACATCATCGTGCTAAATCAGTCGTGAAACTTCGACAGTCATAACTTCTTCGTTATAACTTGAATTTCGGCATTCTTTATATATCCGGAATCCTTGTCACGACCACTACAACTTCCTTCATAGATATTGGGCTTATCTAATATTTTATTATTACGCTTATTTTTATTCTTAATTCAGTTAAGCCACACAATTAAGCAATAAACACATAATACTCAAATAATACATTTCTATTACTTCAAAACGAGTTATAAAGGTTAACCTAGACTATTACATCAACAATAATGCCTAGCCTAGAAATACGGGCGTTACACAAACAATGTAACTTTATCAATTATATTTATGATGGTTGTGTTTTCGTCGCTCGCCCCTAGATGATACTGTACATGACGTCGCCCGCCCCTAGATGTTTTCGTCGTTTCATTGGTTCGGGGTGTGACAATTTTTGCCTAGGTAAAGTTAGTAAATAATGAATAGGGACACAATGTTAGAAAATCAAAGTTAAGAATGTTTGGATTACTGAGGGTCCTGAATTGCACTTTCATATTAAAACATTTCGATGGTACATTCAAAATCTCTAATCGGATAAAACTCAGTATGAGATCAAGAATAGAGAATGAATGATGTTATGTCTTGTATGTGTTTTACCAGAATAATGACCAAAAACGGGTATATCGACCGATGTCCAAAAACTGTCGAAAATTGTCATAAATCAGTTTCATAATTATCAAAAAACTGTTACAAAACTGCCACTAAACCGGGTTTACAATTAGGATAATAAACCGGTTTAAAATTCACACAACTGCCAAAAAATGGTTTATAATTATAATCAGCTCTATCCCTTGCAACCCACCAGAGGTTTCCACCCCATTAGACCCTGCTGCCAGGGGCACTGCCCCCATACCACCGTGGTTCAGGGGCTTTGCCTTAAATAGCAATGCACTTTGAATCAAGACAAACTCAAACAAGTGTGCATTCCGATCCACCCTTACTTGTTCAATATTTGTCAAGTTCACTGGTCAACAAGTTAATAATTTTACACTTAAATAACATTGATAACATAAATCACCAACACACGGTTGAATCCTATTACAGGTAATAGAGGCAAGAGGACATACACACTCAGGTCATACTATTTATAGTAGTGTATAGATGAGTCCTTTTGGTGGTGCCGTTGGTCTTGTAATGTGGGAGCAGTGGTGGATATGGTGAAGGTCATCAGTTTGGCAATGACCATAGGTCATACAGATTTCATGACTAGACCATCCCGACCATTAAGATTATAAGTACGAGGTAAGGACCACAAGGATGATAAGGAAGATGAAATTGGGTATGGCTTTACATGTTTTCATATCTTTACATCATCTAGGTTTAATTCAATGTTTTTTTTTAATGTGCCACTATTTTTATTTTATAAATAACATTTAAAGACATAAGTTATAAATGTATATTCAACTAATAAACTCGGATTAGCAGTAATCAAATTTGATTTCGGAACAATATAAAAAATATCATATTGAAAAACATTTTAGATCAAAAATAAAGATCAATGGAAAATATAGTACATAAAATAACTTTGTTGCTTTGATATTGAAAAACATTACTATAAAAAATAAGAAAAATACAGAAAAAGACTGTCAATGTAAAAAAAATCTCAAAATATCAATTTGGTTGTAATAAATTTAAAAAAAACGACCAGTATAATATGGATTTGGTAAAATTTACACCAGAAGGATTATATTAAAAATAAGAGAAATCAAATATCTTCTTACCTTTTGTGTCTACAAATCCTCATACCCATTTAAATAATGATAAATGTTATATTAGTATACTAAAATATCATTAAATTTTATTAAATGAGCATTAAGCTTGTGTTTGGCGCGTCATAGCTAGCTTATTTTTCAAGTTTTTTTTAAGTTTTCATGTTTGGCAAATAAAAAAATAGCTTACCAGCGAGCTTTTTAGAAGATTTTTAAAAATTTTCCAAATATACCTCTTAATTAATTATAGAAACACGTTTTTTTAAATACCCTTTTATATCATTTTACATCTTTCAGCTAGTTTTACCAAACGTTATTTTTTATAAGCTCGATTTTCAGCTGTCAGCTAACTTTTTTATTTAACAACTAGTTTTTCAGTTATCAGTTAGATTTTCAGTTAGTACGTCAAACATAGTCTAAAAGTTACACATATCACCATTTAATTTGGTAGGAGAATTTGTAGGAACAAAAAATATGAATATATTTAATTTCTCTAAAAATAACAAAAATCCCTCAAAAATTGATGCTATCAAATATAATAATAACTTTGAATTAAAATAAGGCCGAAAAGGAGATCCGAATTGATCTGAATTTGAGCATAAATTTAGGGAAAAAGAAAGTTCAACTATTTATAACAAAACCTTTCTTTAACGGTAGTGGTGGCGCATCAGCACATGTTTCCGTACAAACGACATCTTCCTTAAAGGGTTAAAGAAATTTTCTCGCTTTCATTTCATGGGGTTAATATATTTAACGAAACATTTTAATAAGTGACCAAGTGTATTATTAATATCGAAATTTGTCATAGATATATACAAAATGTATAAATCAAATACTTCGCAATTTGGACTTTTAGGCGGTGGCCTTTTATAAAATTCCGCCAGTTCAAAAAAAAAAGTATGAAGCTCAATGAGAAGATTATGAATTCATAAGGTTACATGACCACACTGACCACTTAGCTTTGACACTCGGGCAAAACAACCCAACGGTCGTTTAGAAGACCATGAGATAAGATTGTTGTCAAGAAATATATTGTAGTCAAAAGTGGACATTTGAGAGTCCATGCAACTCCACCCTATCTGTGATAGAGGAAGCACGCGTTGAAATTATGTAATTAGGATGGGGCGAGAGATATAAGCATGGTATGGAGTTTCTTTTAGATAGAAAAAATTGGGCATGTTGATTGAAAGTGGGCTTTCAAGGTGTGTGCATGAACATGGCAGATCCAGAATTGTAATTGGGGTGCATAGTATGAAATTACTATTATCAAGGGGTAAATCAATTATAATTATAAATTTTCTATATAAAATTTTAGTAAGACTGCATGTTAAGTGGGGTGCACACACCCCACTAAAAGCCCCTAAATCCGCTACTGTGCATGAAGAGACACACTTGTTAAATTTATAGGTAATATCTGGTAGGGGTGTGCAAAAAAACCGTAAAACCGAAAAACCGAGCCGAACCGGCCGATCCGAAACCGAAAAAAACCGAAACCGAAAAAAACCGAAACATAAAAAAACCGAAACCGAAAAAACCGGATATCAACGGGTCGGTTTTGGTTTGGATACTTAGGTATCCGCGGATAACCGAACCGAACCGCTTGATATATATATATAATATTCATTTTCATTGAACTTTTAGCCATATTTCAAACAAAAATCATGATCGGCTATTTCAATTTTACACTTCTACGTTATGTTTTCTTCTATTTTTATTTTTATATTTATTATACCAATTATATTGTATATTATTTGACATTTATTATGTTTTTATAATACTTTGGACTTAGTAATTTTTAGAAAGAAATCGTTGGAATGAAGTTTGTAATTTTAATTGTATTTGAATTTTTATATTTAGCGGGTACCCGTGAACCGAACCGTGGTTACCCGCCTTTATACGGTTCGGTTCGGTTCGGTTTTTTTGCTAATTCGGTTCGGTTTCGGTTAGTGCACATGAAGTACCCGCCCCGTGATGATGGTTCACAATTTTATTACTATCCGAACCAAACCGCCCCGTTAACACCCCTAATATCTGGACTTGTTATGGTGAAGTATTGAGAGCGTTGGCAATATTGCGTTAAAGTCTCATTTTGGCCAATGGGGTGTTTGTATTGGCATTGACTTTACCAAGAGAATCAGTTGGTATGGTCGTAGGGTTGCATATCTCCATTTTGGAAGATAAGTGTGATAGAGGTGTCAAGGAAATGGTTGAGAGGCCGAATTCCTATTTTCCTAAGATAGCCAGGATATGAGGTGATGCTAGAGGTTGGTAGTTGAATTTGTAAGTAGGACATCTGTTATGATCTCAAATCGGTTGAAAGTACTATACATTGGTGGCTTATAAATCTAGGTGTCCCCTCCTCCTACAAGCTGGTTTTTGGGAATGAGTTCTACACTTGGGTTTATGGCATGATACGGGCTTAGTATGAGATGGGTGGTCCGTATCAACATCATTGACATACACGAGTAAATAGACAATATCACAACCATGGTGGTGAATCCGATTAGTGTCATATATATGGTGAAGCAGTGGCACCATTTACAAGGAGCCTATTTGATCCCATATAAAGATTTGAGTAGTTTAATTATATATGTACCGGGGAATCTATTTGTCGACAAAACTAAGGGGTTTGTGCATGTGGGTGATTTTTGTGAGGTCTCATGAAGAAAGGCATTTTTATTTACGTTAAGTTGTCTAAATAGAAATGATAAAGTGACCATGAGCGTGAGGACTATATGTATACTCAAGGCAGAAGATAAGTGACTGAGATCCACCCCACTAGTGTATTCTAGCGTATTAAAAACCTAAAAAAAACGACCTTCTTATTACAATTAAAAGATAAGTGACTGAAAGAGCAAACTCCTTACTATCGATTGAAAGAGAATTGTTTACAAAATCATAAATTTAACCCATGTACTATTTGTAATAAAAACAACACGTGTGCTTTTTAACATGGTGCAAAAGAGACGAATTTAATAATAGGTATTAGTTTACACTTTAGTGTTTCTTTTGTCATCTTCCCAACTAAGAAACGAGAAATTATTCCACCGATTCGTGGATCCAATTTACATTTACATACACCGGCTCTCGAAACACCAATTACCAAACTAGAAATAAACAATGACCACAACATGTAAAAACTGAAATTACCGAGTTACGCATGACCCATCACCATTTTTTTTTTTTTTTTTTTTAATTTACTAGCTCAATCATATAAGAATCCATATCCATAATACAACTCCTCAATATGACTAACACAAGTTGGTCTACACAAGAAATAAGCATATTCTGAAATCTCAACTAAGTTATGAGTTGGGTTTTATTTAAAATCACTTTTCTTTTCGCCTCTATCTGTTTCCTAATAATTTCAGCATTTGGGGGAGGGAGTTTGCAAGGAGGGGCTGACGAAGGAAAAGTAGCTGATCTTTCAAGAACCCCACGTTGAGTTTCATCAGCATAACAAAGCAGCGACTCAATACACTCTTCAAGTGCACTTTCGGGCCTAACAGGCTTGAAATCCAACAATTTTGAGTACTCGGTTATCAAATGATACATATAATCATACACCCTCTCCATATTCAATTCCTCCATAAAACCTTGCCCTGCTTTCCCTATTGCCTCCGCCTGTTAAAAATCAGTATCAGTAATTCAGTATCACCAGTGTGTGTTATATGAGGGTTTACCTCGGATGGGTGTGAATTCCCCCATTCGACTGCACTTTTAATTGAAGGACAAATGTTGTTTGGGGAGATAGGAAGGTAGTTTTGTTTGGGGAAGAGGCCACGGCTGAAGAAGTCTTCATATAGCGGGTTGATTATCAAAGGAACAGAGCCACATGACAAGATATATTTTAAGCTTACAGACCAAGCATACCCCTCGGCGTATATCTTATACCTACATAAACAGATAAAAAGTTGTAAAAAAAGACTAAAATACCCTTCACGACACTTGAAACCTACCGATGATTGCATTGGCTAGATAGTTTCGAGTGCTTGAACCCAACCGATATTTCCTGTGCCCAATTCTGTAATACAATGTTACATCAAGAAAATGCACATATTATTGCTTTGGGATCATTAAATCAGTGTTAACTGTTTTAAAAAAAAAAAAAAAAAAAAAAAAAAAAAAAAAAAAAAAGGCACCTGACGCAATATTTGAGCTCCCCACTTTTTTGTGTCATTACAGAGGAGCATTTTTTCTCTAACGGGAGAGTTAACATACGGGTTTCCTTTCCAATATGCATAAGGTAACTTTTTTTCCCAAGGTATAGTTTGTGAACCTTTTTTAATGCTTTCAAATTCCTCTTCCCAAGGTCCCAAATTAACTTCCACCCTGAATATAAATATATCCAAATCATTATTTTTTAGTACGTTGGTATCAACTGGACACATTATTGTAACGACCTGATATACATTCAAGATTTTAAAGAATGACATGATTAAAAAAATAATAATAAAATTGAGCTTACCAACCCCAGAAAGACCAATCAGGAAAAGGGATGTCAAAATGATCAGGTGTGGTGCAATAACGAAAAATTGGCAAAGGCATAGCAGAGTGATCTCTCTTGTAAACAATAGGCCTATCCATGCAATCAAACATCATATCCACATCTGGTATGCTTCCTGGATACCTCTTAAGAAGCTGCAATAACCCCCAAATTGTAAACAAAGTTCGGCTCAGAACACAATTGTAGTAATAATCCACATACAATTTCCCACTAATGATCACTATACGGAAAGAAGCAAATTTCTTGGCTTCCATTAAATTGGCATAGGAAATCCGAGTATGAGACCAAGGCTCAAGATCATGATGTATCCATCTGTAAAAATCAGGGCATTTTTCTGATTCGCGAGTGAAGGTCGTCTGCCCGATGTTGGACTTGGTCAAGCAGGAAAGGTAAGAGCATCGTACAATCTTGGAAGCTCGACCGATCTTTGTTTCGTTATTGAACGTCTTCGCAGGGAATAAATGCCACGGAGTTGGTTCTAAGTTATGACCGATGATAGTTTTTGTCTGACTAGCCAAGTTGTCCACCTGTTCGACGAAATGCCACAAACAAAAAAAACAAAAAATACACATCCAAACGATAAATAAGTACGTACTCAAAACTTGTACATAAACTTACAAAGGGTATAACGATCCATGGAAGAATGGCTTGTTAACAATCTCAAAATCATCAAGACTACGTAATTTTGATTTTGCAGTCATTGCTTTCATAAGTACGTACGTACGAAAAACTTGTCAATGAAAATTTTGAAGGATAAACAATCGGATAGAAGCGTATTAATAAATTTTATGATGGAAAAATCATCAGAATCACATAGTTTTGTGCAAATCCGTACCACAGAAAGGTTTTTCCAGAATTCAAATTGCCGAATTGGTTTTGTGAAATCACTTAATTTCGAATAAGTAAATGTGTAAGAAGGAGAAAATGTACCTTATATAGAACAAGAAGCGTGAGACTAAAGATTAACAACACAATAAAGAAAGAGGGGAGGGGGGAGAGGCTTAGAACTGTTTTTCTCGAAAACAAAGCCATATTTCAAACTTGATATTGGTGACAATGGTGATTGATAGTAATTTGGTGTCGTACAATCGATATAAACATAATTCTGAAAACAGACTTCGTTTCCATCATTTGCTCAAAGAGTCGTCTCTCTCACATGGAGTGGAGTGGGTAGCTCAACTACTTGATAGCGTTTCCCGCATCCTACTCCAAAAGTCCGATGACCGACATTTTCTCTCCAAATACCAATACCTCATATTTACATTTTACCCCCTTGTAATATTCCCAGCTTCTGGATTGGGCTCTAGATATGGTCAAAGGAAATCAATATTACACCTCGCTCGAAACCGATCTTGAAAAGCCACACTACGTCAATGATACATTCTAGGTAAAAACAAAATGAATTATATCATCTGGTTTACATTTGGATTTTTTTTTTTTTTTTTTTTTTTTTTTTTTTTTTGTAATTTTGAAACCTTACAATATGTTAATTGTCATCGTACAATGAGTGAGATGGCAAATGGACAACAAGATGTGCCGCTAAGCCTTTTTGAATGGTAAAACTAATTCTTTTAAAGACTACATTTGAAGATCCAAGGGATATAACATTACTATGCATGATTCGTTGTACTATTTTAAGAAGCTCTACTGCATCCGGTGCGAGGAAACCAAACGTATCAAATGCAAATGGTATGAACACGTGTTAATTTTCCATGCACGATTTCTCATGTTTGGTGACTTTGCCTGTAGCTGCTTTTAAAGCAGCATGTCCCGCCGTGAAACCCCCAGCCCTCAGGCCCACGAGAGGGGATAACCCTGTAAGATCCATACATGCGTGTTTCCCTCCGACACATCCAAAAATCAAAATGTCAGCCGGTCTGAGGGTTGACCTTCCTTCTGTCGGGTCAGTCAAGAAATTAGTGGATGTCTCTTTCTTAGCGGAAACCCCGACATGCTTAAATATGTCAAACAAAACATCCCTAACCATATCGTGCCTGTATTTTAACCCCGAGAGTTCTTTACAGTGAACTGCATGCTCTCTAAAAGAGTTCAAATATGCCTTGCGACACACAGGACATATTTCGTCAGCTGGGAATATGGGAATCATCACTCAATATTTGAGAATAGTACGATACTCCACGGGAGACATGTGTTGGCCAAGCCCGTCTATACGGATAGCCAGAAGAAAATCTTGATCATGTGGTGCACGTAAGCACTGGAAAACCGCTTTCTGCCGAGTCGTCATGTCGAGGTGCACTTCTATATCTTGGATAATTTTACGAAAAAGAGCACTCGCCAGTGTATTCTGGGATTTAGGGGGGCAGTGTCTTTAGTAGTAAAATTGTTAAGGTCAAAATCTGGAAGCTTGTTGCAAAGGGATGCTAAGGCACAATCATAATCATAATCCATACCATGTATACCGCTATCCCGTAAGATATGGTCTTGCAATACCCAAGATTGGGCCCTTGAGGCAACAAAAGCATAGGAGGTAGCCTCTACTACCGAGTATAAACCCAAACCCCCAAACCTAATGGGTAAGGAAGCAATTCACCATTGTATGTCACCAAAGAAAGGGCCCCCACAAACCACAATGTCCTCAATCGCCCCGTGCAATCCATTGTCAAAGAATATTGTCGCCTCTTCCATGTGAACAGGTTGGCACATCCTCAACCCAAAGAAAAGCTTAGCAATACCCATACAAGACCGAAGAAGAAGGAGCTCACTCTGGGGGTCAGACAATTGTGGAAGAAGACGCATCAAATTCACAGCGTTTTCGGCTCTCTTTATGGCTAAGCTGCGAATGAAACTAGCATCTCTATTAACAACTCCCCCAAGAAATTTCACCCCCAAAGGTGGCCTTCTGATGTCCGCCGGAAATAGCCCCTCCCGTAACTTCCTACCATCACATGAGGGCCAAAAGAGCTCAGTTTTCTTGATATTCAGTTGAAGACCCAATTTTGGGCCAATCACCGTAATGATATCCAATGCTTTGGCCACCTCTTCCGAATCTCCGATAAGTGTGTCATCATCCAAGTACCATGCATAGAGAAGAAGCTTGTAATTGTCTCTAATCTTATGCAAGAGTGGGTGCAACACAATGGCAAGGAGAAGTGGTCCCAAGGGGTCTTCTTGCTGAACCCTAGTAGAAGATTGAATATGTGTGTTGCCTAGATATAACCTTGCTGCTTGACCATAATGGAATTCTACCCACAAGGAAATACAGATCTGTCAACAAGGTTAAAAGAATTAAAGAAGTCCACGTTAAGCATGGAGAGAGATTTGTCATTGTGGCACTCACTTAACAACCTATTGGCGCTATGTAAAACGGCCTCAGCGCTACCCGACACCCCGACTCCAAACTGAAAATCATTGAGATATTTGGCCATTTCTTTACCAACCCCTTTCATGGCTAACTTGGAAACCAAACGTCTCCACATAGTACCTAATACAATAGGTCGTATTCCCTTGTCAGGTTTTAAGAGCGGCGTGAGAGGAGCAGAGGCAACAAATTCTGCTAAGCTCGAAGGGCATCTTCCCCCTAGCCATAGATTAACCACATAAGTAATAGCATGTAGGAGGTCTTTGGATATAGCCGAACCTTCTCTACAAAGGGCATCTAAAATGTGTTGAGCTCTCAACCCGTCCCTCCCACACGAGGTACCTTCAGGGAAGGATTTAATTCCCCCAAGGACATTGTCAACATCCACTACCAGGGGAGGTTCTGAAAATATGGTGTTGGGCATGGAAGGTAGTGGCTTGTATGAATGCTTATCCTCCAATGCCTTCGTGGTATCACCCCCCAAATGGAGAAACCCCCAAAGAACATAAAACTTTCACCGCTGCTGTAAAATGTCCATCGGCAATCTTATGAAGACATTGTCTGACATTGGTGCTGCCTGATGTTCTTTTCTCCTGAATGTACTCTTCTTTTTTATCTTGTTGCTCTAGTCTTGCATTGTCAACTAAGTTTTTAACTAGCTTGGCGATACCGTCTTCAATCCCCCAAGTAGCTAAAGCGCTCAAGACTAGAGACGGAAGACGGTATCGCCAAGCTAGTTAAAAACTTAGTTGGGGGACTGAAGACGGTATTAGAAGCACTAACCCAAAAGAAAAAGTTACACTCCAACAAAAGGCTGGAGTGTGCACAATGGAACCCACACCGGATAGAATCCCTACATCAGCTTGAGTCGAAAATTGGTAACAACACTTTAAAAAATCATTTAGGCATTTTATCAAACACTTGGCGGGCAGAAAAAGTAACACCTTGTTTGCGTCACCAAGCCTTAAATTTTTTTGCCCAAATGCAATCTTGAAGCGGGAATCATATAGCCCAAACTTATTAATTCAAAATATTTTTGCAATCCCATCAACTGTGAGGTTATCAACTCTCCACATCACCTTTTATCTATCCCCCCATCAATTATATACTCTTCATAACCTTTCCTTCCATTATTCATCACCTTCCTATTCACAGTTCATCACCTCAATGTGTTTCTTCTTCACCTGTTTGCTGTTTAATTTTTCCTGTGTTCAATGTGTTTCTTCTACATGATAAAGTAATTCATAATTATCTGAATGATGATTTATATAAAGACAACGCTTGAAATTATTAACATATATTGTAAAAATAGTTGGAGGTGTCGAGGATCGAACCCGGGTCTCCTGCCTTTTCAACTCAGTGCTTTACCAGTTTGGATTGTAAAATAGTTATATACTTGACAACCCCAAATGTTCAAAAAAAAAACTTTATACTTGTTGGTTAGTCCGTTTTGGATCAACCAAGGAAATTTTGGAATTTTCCAACACCAAAAGCAACTGCGGTTAAAGTACCAATGTGAAACAAGTGTTAAAACAGACTAGTTATACGAAGATATAAGAAACTAATCAAGAAAATAGTCCAAAACAATTAAGTCCTTCACATTTATTAAAGGTTAAAATAGACAATGATACGACGGTATAACAAAGTAATTAAGAAAATAGTTTATTATAAACCTTATCTCAATCATCATAACCCAAGTTTCTTCCAAATCTTCAAGCTTCTTCTAACAACATCCATCATCTAAACACATGTGAAATACATATAGTAGACTTAGGAAGCTTAGTGAGAAATATTAGAGCTAAGCAACATATGTATGAAACTAGCAATTTTCATACACAATGCTAACCTCCCTAAAAAGTTTTCAAAACATTAAAGATTGATATCATTTCAACAGTGTAAGAAAAAGAAGCATTTCAAGTATCTGCAATGCTAGAAGCATTATTAAACCCAACAACTTTAAATCAAATATTTATATGGAATGCAATGCATGAATGTTACTATCTGAAAACTTATGTCATCTCAAGTCGAAAACATCTCACATGTTAAAGGATGGAAAGTGGCACGTGTAAAGGTAGTACATAGAATACTAAACACATAAAAGTTCCAACACCACAATTGGGTACCTAAGTTATAAATGGTCGCACAAGTATCAACTCGTCCTAAATAGATGCACATTATCATAATTAAAATCAATTCAAACACAAAATCTATCCTTATTTTAAAACTCGTTGTGAAAAAAATCATTTCAACAAGTGCAACGCATAATAATAGGTAGATATACATACTAATTCATTTCAAAAAGGTTCTAGCTAATATAAATAATACAAACATGTATTCTTGGGTAATGAACTCATCTTGACAACCTTGAATAATAACTTTTTACTCCTAATAGTATCCTTTGATCTCCTATAAGTCAATACAATTAATATATTCTTAACAATGGAATTGATATTTCTTCTTCATTTTTTTTTTTCATATTATTGAGATTACAGGGAACCCTATATATAGGGATTTTGACCAGAACAACTAATTACAGCTAAATATAACGACAAACATACATACCTAAAATAAGAAGAGAGATTTTAGCGATTACACCAGAAAAACACTGCTACAAATCATAAAATTTGATACTCACCCTCAAGTTGGGGCGTATATGTCAAAAACACCCAAGTTGCTCAAGAACAGTTTGATGCATCTTTGGTGAGAATATCAGCCAATTGGTCTTATGAACGTATCATAGGTAGTTCTAAAATGTTGTCCCAAAATTTTTCTTTAATGAAGAATCTATTAACATCGATATGATTTGTTCGATCATGATGAACGGGGTTATAAGCCATGTCTCGAGTTGAGTTATTATCACAATATAACTGGATTGGATTCTTTGTTGGGTACCCTAACTCATCAAACTGAACTCTTA